GATTGGATCCTTATGTGTCACCCCATTTGATTGTATATCACTTACCCCCACTTTAGTCTAGTCGGTATACTAGTTAGTAGATATGTGATGGTTAACTATCACCATCTTTAACCATTACTTCCCTATGGTAAAATATAAATAATGATACCCTGAAATACTCCTAGGTGAAATGCTACAATGATATTATGTGCGCTTGCGGAATTATCTACTTGAGCATAAGAAATATCAACAAACATTTCTGGTGTCGTTGCCGGGGACACAAACCTGGTAGCAATGTTAAGAAATGTCAACAATAACAATCACCACAATCATCGTCCGAAGCATCCGAATGATATTTTATAACATATGTATTAGGACGATGTTGTTTATGATGCTCCCTAGCCTCTTTACTTCGGCTCTCAATGGCCAAAGCTTGCTGTATAACTTGGTTTACAGTAAAGAAATTAAAACCATCAAGCTTCTCTTAAAAATAAGAGTGCAAACCATTATAAGCCAAGTCAGCCAAATCTTTCTCAGCAATAAAAACATTGAAGCATTGGTTTTTGGTGTCTCTAAACCTTCTAAAGTAATCAACAATGGACTCATCACGTTGTTGCTTAACCGATATCAAGTGAGAAAGCTTAAGCTCATTAGAACCAGAGAAGATGTGCTCATGAAATTTCTTCCCCAAATCAAGCCATGAATTAATTGAGCCAGGAGCTAATGAGGCAAACCAAGAAAAAGTTGTTCCAGTTAAAGATAAAGGAAACATGTGAACTGCTAAAGCTTCACTAGAACTAGCTTCTCCTAATTGATCCAAATATTGACTCACATGCTCTCTAGTGCTCCTACTATCTTCTCCACTAAACTTGATAAAGTTAGGCAATCGAAAATTAGTAGGAGAAGGAGCCCAATCAAAATGAGAGGGGTAGGGCTTTTGATAAACCATTGTATGACCCCTAATATCAACACTGAGTTATCTTTTACCTTTCTAATAATAGAAGCTTCATGTCCTACGAGAACCTATTTTACTTCTGGCAAATGAGTTCTACCATGTTGATGATTGGCATGTCTGACTTGAAAAGTCGGTCTAGCCGATGAACCAACATTAGTATGGTCGATGTCATGAACCGGCCTCTCATGGCTTTGTTTGTTTTGCTAGGAATTAAATCGTTGATTAAAAATATAAGGAGGTACGGGATTTGGCTTAGCAGTGCCCTCAGGAGGAATACCAGGGCCGTAGGCAATAGTAGTAAAAGGAGCTTTAAAACCGGCTAATTCACTCATATTATCATCAACCCAATCATTAATTTTAGTCGTTTGAGGAACACTAGTAATAGGGGCAGTATATACAGGATGATTAATCATAGCAGTAGTGCCCACAAAAGTCGAAGAGCCAATTTGTCCTTTAGAAGCATTCATCGGCATGCCATAAAGATAACCTATGGGCTTAGAAGCCGATGGTGCTGGTAAAGAATAACTAGGAATGACAATTTCAGATTCAATCGGTTTCTTAAGACTAGCATTATGCTCAATAGTATTCATCCGATTGATAATTTTAGCTTCCCATGCCTCTAGTTGTTCTTCCATCCACTTGAATTGCTCTGAAGTAACTAGACCAGCGGGGGGGTTCACTTACAAGTCGAGGTACCTTAGTTGATGTGGTAGATGTTCCGTCGAAGGTGAAGACTTGTACATTGATTCGCTTGTCTTGCTCAGCCACCTTACTTGAACAGGTCTTGAACGAGCATCCTGCCATTGCAGCCACTACATTGGCAGCATTCTTGGCCTCCACATCTTTGCGAAGATCCTCTGGAAGTTGATCCAAAGTAGTAGGACGGATGATGTTATCCTCACCGGACGACTTGGTGATTTCACCATCCTTGGGCTTATCTTCTGCCATATGGGCTTCTTGATTGATCTTCTTCTTCTCTAGCAGAGTCAACAAAAAGTGTGTTGACGTTAGATTGTGATCTAAGCTACACACCAGCAAGGGCTAGCTCGACCTAGGTTGCACACAACCTGAAACACGTAGCAAACAACTCCAAGAACGACTAAACCGGTCTACAGAACAGTTAGGCCGATCTAGAGCTCGTCCAATGCCACAAAAGCCCGAGAACGCCTCCCGGGAGGACCCATCAGGGAGGAGCACGCCTAGGGTTGTTCTAGACCAGCAAGACCACCTAGAATGCTAATAAATCTCTCGAAGAGATGCAACGAATAGCAAGAGGGTTGGAAAAGGGTAAAACTACGTAATAGATGTATTTTTTGACAATTGAGTGTTGAATCTTTCAATCGGCCATGATCCTCTCGTATATATAGAAGAGGTGGTCATATCCCAATAGAAAACATCTTCAGATTGTGATCTTCAAGTTTCCTATGCGAAAACATGTCCAAAAATCAATTTGGAAAGTGTTTGGTTCAGACTTGCACATGCAAATTGGCCTAGCCGGTTCCCGGACCGGCCTAGCCGGTTTTTGCGGGGGCTGTGCAGCCCTACAGCCAGGCAAACCAGCCTAGCCGGTTCTAGAACCGGCCTGGCTGGTTCTACTGTAGCCAAACCGGCCTAGCCGGTCTGCTGTACGTCCAGGGCAAAACGGCTTCTGAAAATCACAATTAATTCATCCGAACTCCAAACGGGACGAACTGTATATGTTTTTCGATCAGCTCGACGAGAGGAATGCAATGGTCCAGTAAAATCTTGCATTTGAAGAACTTGTCCAACCCGGCCTGGCTGGTTTAGGAACTGGCCTGGCCGGTTCTAGCTAGGCCAGCACTCCCGAATCGTTGTTTCTTCATCCGGGCTCTAAATAAGATGATTCAAATATATTTTCTGACCATCTTGACGATAGAAACATGATAGTGGAGTCTATTATAAACTTTGACCACTTTTGGTTGTCAACAATAAGTCAAGTATCATTTTCTTCTTGTTGATGCAAATCAAGTCATTATTGAGACCAATCCAAAATTATCAACTCATGTCTCATTTAACATTTACCAAATATGGTCGCTTTCATATGATGCTATGATGTCCCACAACATAGAAGACATTTCATCAATTTGGTTTGCACTGATGTCTTTTACATGAACTAGATTGTTCCCATAATCTTCCAATACAATAATATAGTTTTGGCCTTCATTTGGATACTTTGTGGAATACCATCAAGCTTGCCTTCTTGTTGAAGCTTTGGTACACATCTTGTTATGCAATCTTCATGTGTATGTAATATACTCAATTTCTTGTTAACTTGTTAGACCTTTAATTGTGCCGTCATTCAATCCACCAAAACCCACTAAAAGACTAGATGCACTTTCAAAAACCTAGTTTGACTTGTAACATGGTAAAAAACAGAGTCAATATACTACTATCCAGAACATCGTTAGAATAGCAACAGCCACACTCAAAAAATCATAACTCTTAAAATATAGAGCCTAAAATCATGAAATTTCATGAGCAAAAGGATACAAGAATATCTATGACTTTTTTTATTCAAGTGTTTGGCTAATTAACCTTTAACTTAGAGAAAAGGCACGACATAACGGGACTGCTCAATCTGAAAATTCAGAATTGTGTGCAGCGATCATCCGACCTAACGGTGACTTAGATCTTCAGTTATCTAGACTTAAACATGACGAAAACCATGGATCAGCATGAGAAAAGGTTGGGGATACTCACCTAGGGTTTCCTCACGGATGAACAACAAGAAAAACAGAGGGGAAACGAGATCTAGCACCACTAGTTGATCATCTCCAGATACCCGTTCCATTTTGCATCTCCTTTTGTTAATCATAGGATTTTTTTTCTCCCTTCACTATTTTTGCCCAACTTCTTGATCCGAACTCTAAATAGCGCGTATAAGTAGTCAAACGAAATATGCGTTCCACGAATTCTACGGTCTTTGGTTATCAATCTGAACAACGTGTAAAGTACTCGTTTTTTTCCACTCATTAAAAAGCCCCGATATGCTATTTAACCCTTTGCGCTCCCAACAAGCAAAACGTATTTGCTACAAAATTCATTCCATTAAACCACATCAAGAATCAATTTAGAGTATGAAACCACACCTTTTCTACATAAACACAAAAGGCTATGGTCAAATTTCTAGCCATCCATCCTGCGTCTGTACGACGCTATCCGTTCATCAAGTCTATTCGCTCTGTATGAATATGTAACGTATATCATTCATTCTCTTAATCTTGTGTTCATTCTTGTCTCTCCATTTACATTGTGAACGCATGGATTCAAACAAGGACAATATGTGCCAGGTTACTATGTTTAGAAAATAGTAGAAATTTTAGCACAAAACCAAATAGCACTAAAATTGAGGGTTAAAATTATACAAACCCAAGAATTGAGGAGACAAATATAAACCTATTCCTCAAATAAAACTCATTTTGTATTTACTCCATTTTAAATTATAAGACGTTTTAACTTTTCTAGAAACACTATTTTAATTATGTATCTAGACAGTAAGTACATAACAAAAGCTTTATTATACCTAGAAAAGTCAAAACATCATATAATTTATAATAGAAAGCAAAGGAGATATTTTCCCTGGTTTTGGGCCCTTTCTCAATTATTAGTTCACTTGACATTCAATATTTAATGACCGTTTGTTATATTTGGACACCCAACCCTGAAACGATTTGAGCACGGAGACGATATAATTCCACAAAACCCTTGCCCACGTATGACCAAACTTGTTACTACTAATGGGACTTTGATACCATCTTATTACGCAACCAAAACATGCAAGTAGCAATTCAGGATTTTAAATGCAACGGCAGTTTATGTACGAACTGTAACTTGCTGTACAGCGTAAAGTATGCAATACTATCACAGGTTCGATCGGTTTCCATGAATACCAACTGTAATGTACCCAGCTCCATGCAACTTCGTTGCGCCTAAATGCTGGATCTCTACCGTCAACCACCTACAGCCTTTGTCTACGCTATTTTACAGGTGGAAATTATTACAAGCATTCGTGGCGACCTCAGAAAAATCGCTCATCCCATGCCTGCTAGACAGTGAAGTTTCCAGGTGTAGTGTATTGCCCGGGGAGGGCTGGTCCTGCTGCCGGCACGGGAGGGCCGAAGTTGAAGGGGTGGTTGAACATGCAAGCTGGCCCATACTTGCAAAAACCATAGCGGCCATAATACGTGCACACAGGTTGATCCTGTAACACAAGGCAAAAATAAAATAAACTTAACCAGAATCATATTTTTAAAACGGTTTGCCAAGCCTGGCAGAAGTTAATAGTAGTAACAAATAAATCATTTGCAATAAGCTTATACATCTCTTTTGTAGAATGCAAATCTTTTGTCTAATCGTCTACCAAAAGCGAACTGTCCTATGAAGGTGACGAGATGTCCCCAAGCAAAATATGGAGACCATCTGTTCTTTCCTCTCCATGCAAGTGATCTATGTACTACAATAGATCAAAGGGGCAGCCTTAATGGGGAATGTAAAACGATTGGATAGAAACTCACAGGTTTGATAGGCAAGCCAATGGGGCTAAGACCTGTTAGTGGTGCAGACTGGCGCGACCTTGGATGGTGAAATCTGCATTTCATCCTGTATTTACAGAAACCGCTCTTAATAAAATGCTGGCATTCAGGTTGGCCAGGTCTCTCGGGATACTCATCAGAAGGTGGTGGTTGATTTCCTGGTATATCTGCAGCCTTGTACATCGGGTGATTCATATGGGCAGCTGGAAAATGCGGAAAAGGGACACCAGGAGGGTAATATGGATTCAAAGGTACCTGAAACCAATATTCACACATCAAATAGTTATCCAAGAGAAAGCATGAATATCAAGCATACCAGGAAATTACTAAATGTGTCGAACAGAATATTTCCATTTGGCATCACTATTCTCTTGGCATGATACTGAGAAATCACAATGGAAGTCAATACGAATAAACAAAATGGCTGCACCCTTTTGGGTTCAGATAGTATCACTTGGTAGTTGAACTGAAAAAATCTTACCGATAGGAATGAAACAACATAGAAAACTATGTTAAATAATTTCGCTCAAAAGAACTGTGTGCTTTTTCCCAAGCTAAGAAACCGAGGTATTTGAAAGAATAATCATAAAGACCAAACATGATATCAACTAACTTACACAGTATTTAACTTTAAAGCAGTTTGTAAAAATAGTAAAATTATGTAAAAAGACATAGTTAAAGAGCAACTCAAAAGAACTACAAACACACGCCAGCAAATGAACTAGCATGTTCGGTTCTTAATTTACCAAAAAGTAAATTAAGGACAACAAATACTAATATTTAATATTATCCAATTCATGGCAAATGCGTAAGTGAAAGGCATTATTTTAATGTGTACAAGTACCTGATGATACCCACTCCAATCAGGAGATGGATACATTCCTTGAGGTGGAACCATCCCTCCACCGTACGACAGTGCTGGAGCTAGAAAAGGAACATGCTGTTCATTCAATGTTCTCTGGTCAGGCCATATCTGAAGGCTAGGCTGAGAGGATCCTTGGACATTTTGCAGTGGTGTATCCGCATTCTCATGTTCCAACCCTGGTTCTTTTGAAGGCGCGTTAGTAGGATCTGGGTGGTGAAACTTGCAGTTAGTCGCAAATTTGCAGCTCCCAGTGCGCATATAGTATGGGCACTCCTTTTCACCCTGCAACATTAAAACAACAGCTTATGCCTTCCATAATTCCATACAAACAATATTATCAAGTCGTCTGGTCGATCCTAGTCACCATGGGACCGACCAGGCGACTAATCACAATTAGTCGTTGACCAGGGTGACTAGTCGACCCTGGTCGGTCCTAGTCATACCAAATATATACTAATATAATCAAGCATGAAGATAACTCTAGGGCGGTGGCTGCATGTAGGGTTCCAAATTGGGCTGAAAAACATGAAAGCCCAGATGCAGCACATGTCCTAAGCTCCCAGCAATTGCATTCCATTTCTGGTCATCCACCCCGTAGTCGTCCAACTAATCACGATTAGCCAACAACTAATTGGACGACCAGGAAACTAATTGGACTAATCGAGTCATAGCCCATAGTCCAGGATACCGACTAGGACAACTAATCGTGATTAATCAGACGATTAATCGTGATTAATGGATGACTTGATAACACTGCATACAAAGGTAAACTGAGTTGATAAGTGCATCCAAAGCTTTCAGTTTCATGTTAACTTGTGCCTGAATCAATTATCATGATTACACCTAGATAGGCTTTGTTGTTGTTGTTGCAGTGGTATACTATTGTCAGGACAAAACAAAAATTGAAAATTTTGTATTTCAGCCAAATAAAAAACAAGATAGCTCAACTAAGTACCCACAATCTCCACCACAGCTCCAGCACCAAGAATTTTATAAGCTAAAGATGTTCTTTGAACCAAATCTCTGCCAAACAGGCCCTTAATTACACTGAAATGAACAAGTATATAAGCTGCACAAGTAATGAAAGACTTACTGGTCGCAGTGGAAGACCTAGAAAGTTCAGCTCAGCTTTTTCAACCTCTGTTTTCCCTTCTTTTCCCTCACGGTGGAGGTATTTGCAAGCTTTACCGAATTTGCATCCTCCAGGTGTTGAATAATACTGCAAGGAATATTGTGTTATACGTCAGACAGGTGAAGAATAACATTACCATGAAAGATCTAATACCTAGCTCATGCCTTAGATTTTACATATAAGATACATAAGCATCAATTTATGCTATGCAATACTATCAGCTGATACAGTGATACCGGTCACCTATGTTACCCAGCTACAGCAAGTAAGGGTCGAATCCCGTATTGGATACAGGTGCGTGGTCGATTACTTGCAGTGATATGTACCGTATGTGTATGATACAGCCCTGTGTGCAGGGAGCCAGAGAAGATAGAGCACGAACTAGGCCACTGCTTCACGGCACCCGCCGCCGCTAACCAATCTGCTATGTGAGTGAGGAGAGCAAAAAGAAGATGCTGCTGCTGAGGATTAGTGTGGGTGAGCCATGGGGATGCTCTGCTGCTGCAGAGGGAGTCATCGGCGGCGGCGGCTGTGGCTGGTAGTCGTGGGGAGCTGGAGAAGACTGCTAGGCTGCTAGCTTATGTTCTCGTGGGGGTGATTGGCTGAGGGCTAGTTGCCTAGGCTCTAGGGAGAGGGTTGGTGGTTCATTTATGAGCCGAGAATGTAAGTGTGGCATGGCGCAGTGTATTCACATGTGTATTTTCTATGATATATACTTTGTCCAGATTAACATCTTTATTAGCATGTGTACATTGTGTTTGTCTTTACAAATTACAATGAGGCATTGACCTGAAGGCATCATTTTTTATGATCCTGTCTCCAATTAAACTGATGCTGCTTGTTTTTTGCAGCCTACATGCAAACGTAAAATCACAATATAATTTGTTGTTCCTGCTATTATATGTCAATTATTATTTTCTTTTAAAAAATAATAAAACATATCCATGTATTTTTTTTTATAATGGCATATCCATGTATCCATAACAGTCTGATACCTGTGCTTCATTGCTGATCACAACTAATTTTACAACAAAAAAGAAGTGCATAACAGGAAAAAAAATGCTCAACTAGAACAAGCATTGCATCAAAAGTACACATAACAGAAAAATTAATGTACAAAACAAGGAAGTTCCTGAAATTAATACAAAAAAAAACAGGTGGGGGAATTTCCCCACTGCGCCCTCAAAAAAAAAGGAAGTTCCTGAAAGCCACTGTAGTTACACCAGTGTGGACTGTGGAGGATAAGCTAGCCTGAGATGAAGCCATGAAGTTGGTTTTCAGCAGTGTTACCTGGACAACAGTGTCTTACATTTTTTTGCCAAGTCAGACAATCCTGCACCTGTGTCAGATTCCAACACCCATGTCGGATACCAAGTGCAATTTGGCGTGTCTCCAAAATATCTCCGAATCAGACACCCGCACCCTAAATGGACACCAACACCCACACGGTGTCCATGTAACCCTGGTTTTCAGACAGAAATGTGCAAAGAGATGGAATGGTATCCACCTACTCGATTTGGTTCAAGATGGCTCATGGTTCAAGACAGAGGACACCACTGGCTTGACCTCAGGGAGCTGGTTCTCAGCACCAATACCAATTGAATCTTAACATATGTTATCATTAAGGCATTAATGGTTTTTTTAGAGCAAAGAAAAGAGAAAACATTCAAAAGCTTTTCAGTGCAAGTTAATCACAGAAAATCAACAAACTATCACCGTGATGAAAGGTCACAAACCTTGCATTCCTCCTGAGCGTTGCCTTCTGCAAAGGTTTCCTTTCTTTTATCTTTAGCACCCTTCAGAATCTCAAAAGTTGGTAGGGAACAATCAGGTGGCAGTAGAACAAAGGATTTACATAAAATAAAATAGATAAAAAATTATCGATTTATAAACCTTCCATTTACAGGGTTTTGGTTAAGAATGAATGTGTATACATATCATCATGCGAATGGAGTTGCTCTAAGGGCATGTACAATGCAAGATGCTTAGACACAGGTGCTTAGGGAGACAGAGCATTGTCATATCACTAAGCATTGGTATAGAAGTTCATTCCTACAATGCTAACAGGTTCTTAGACAAGTTTAAACCAATATGTTAACACACATTAAGCATTGATGCTAACTTAAGCATTTTATCCATCTTTTAAGAATCAGGTGCTAATGGTTGAAGAAAAAGGTTTTTTTTCGAGCACCTCCATTGTACATGCTTCAATATATCCTCGCTGAGAGAACATGAATTAACATGTTTTCTAGGAATGCAGGATGTCACAATACACTAGATAGTTGATATAAGGCCCTCCATCCTAACAAAAGATGCTAAGAACTAACTGTATGCACCCTGTGTCACACTGGCCTGTGGAAGACCAAGAAATTGCTAAAGGGATTGAATGCATAATCCCTAACCTTTTGGGTTGTGACATTTGTCTCGTCTAACTTCATAAAATAAATTCCCTTTTCAGGTTCTTCACAAATCTGCCAACATAAGATATGAGAATTTAAGTACCAAAACGTAATTACATCTACTAAGCAATCTCGAGCAGTATTCATAATATACATGACATAACCTTTTCCTTTGGCTCTAGTTTCCCCCTTTTCATATCAATAACCTGCAACAGGTAAAGACATATAGTTAAACGTAAAAAGTGGAGTTCAACAAATGCGGAAGAAGTGTGGCCTTTTAAAGTAAGTAATGAAAGCAAAGCAACAGGCATTTCACTGGTTCATCAGCATGTACAGTGCAATAAAGCTGGTAAAGAACACAGCTCACAAAGATCGAGAACTTAATAATTAAATTAATATGCTAAAAGAAAATACTGACTTCATATGACATCTTCCTATGAGAGGTAGATAAGCTCCCCTTGTCATCAAAGCCCTGCAGAAAAATCCAGCATTTTAAAATTCTACAACACAAACTCAAAAAGGCAAGAATAACTATGGACTAGTAAATCAATAACAAGTCCAAGAACTGATGAATCAATAAGTTTGATACATGACTACACAAAAATGATTGCATCCTATGTTTTCAACAGCAATAGACTCAGACATGCCTATGCAGTTGCTTGAAAGCAAACCCGTACATTAATTGTCACAAGGAAAACAAAAACAAAAACAAAAACAAAAACAAAAACAAAAACAAAAACAAAAGAAAATTGGAGGAAGTTGGCATCATTTGTCATACAATGCTGATAATCTCAAACCTGGACATTTCATTGGGCAAAGTGGGGATAGATGCCTATTAACTTGGAATGCACCCACTGCATTGACTCTTTGTTTCTTTATCTTTTCACAACGTCGTGTACAAAGCAAAAGGTTAACTCACCATGGAATCCGAAATGTCTGGAACAAGGCCTTCGTATTCTTCTCTAGGAGCCTGGTTGAAAATTAAATAGATAATAAGAAAGAACAATCAAAGTTTATTCAAAGGCTAGAAATGTAGAATTATAAATGCAGATATGGCCAGTTTATTACAAAGAACTATGATCATCAAAGTGGAAACTGAACATGTCACTGATCATCAGCGCATTGTTTGACAAACATCCATGAAAATTTCAAAATATAAACATTGAACCTTACAAAAGTGACTATAATTTGTATCTACAAGTTATAACTCCAATTATGGCCATGCAGCACTGATCACGAAGCGCATAAACTGTTTCAGATGCTGAATAAGCATATTATAATTAGAAGATTAAAACAAAAACATACCAAACAATAACCTATAGGATACAACCCAAGTCCCAAGCATATAAGAAATATAACAGGAAATAAGAGATAAATTAACAGTGGGAAAGTAGCAATGACCACATTTTTGTGAACATTTGTTTTAAAATCAGGTTAGGTTATATTGAATTTGTTGGCAATTCTTGAAACAAGTAAAATGTCCATAAATTGTTGGTAATTCATAGTTTGGGATTTGGTTGAAGAATTAGTATATCACATACTTTAACTCATGGTTCGATTCCCTAGCGATTCATGAGTCTCAAACAGTCCCTACAATACTACCCTGTGAAGATAGAACCAGAACAGCTACTTACAAGAATACCTAATAATCGATGAAGGCAGCATGGAACAAGGCATCTTAAATTAAAGAAAACACAGAAAAATATTTAACAGGCGACCACATGTAGACTCAGTGCTATTAGACTTCATTTGCATAGAATCAATCCTACTTTTCACTTGTCTGTAATGAATTGGCTCAATAGTTTATAGTCTGGCCCTTCTACTTAGTTTTTGTGTAGTGGAGCTGCTTAGTTAGCTCTTGGTTAACTGCTGTGTAAGTGTCCCTCTGTACCCCCCTTTTGTTTTAATATATTTGGTGCTTTGCTGGGGAGCTTTTGCTCCACACTTTCTTTTCAAAAAAAAGAATAAGTGGAAAACCAGAAATCAGTAGTCAATGACACATACAAAGAATTGGAAACAACAACAACAACAAAGCCTTTAAATCCCAAACATACAAAGAATTGGAAACATTATTAAAAAATCTCTCACGGCATCAGGCTACCAAAAAAACATGTTCATCAAGCAGATATCCAATTTGAGTTACAAAATGTTTTCTTATTCCGGTACAGTCAGCAATTTGATTTTGTTTGGTAGGTTGTAAAGGGAGATAAGGACACTAGGTCCAAGGCTAGCCTGTACATCTTCAAATGAAAGAACATATATGAAGACCCTGTGTTTCTTCAGATCGAATGCAGTAATGGCGTGGAGTTCCATGCCCTGAGATCGTCATCCGAAAACATGGACCAGGGATGTGAAGACCCTGTGTTTCTTCAGAGCGAATGCAATAGTGGCGTGGAGTTTCAATTCCTGAGATCGTCATCCCAAAACGTGGATCAGGGATGAAGCGAGTCAATGCCTGGGTCGATGCTTGGGAAGGCAGTTGGGACATTGTCGTGATGACAACCGGGACATTAGGAGCTATGAGGGCAAGTGGGTTGGTGAAGTTGACAAGGCTGCCAATGCAGAAGCTGAAGACAACCATTGCCATGGCGGCGCAACAGCAGTGGCAGCCATTTCAGAGGTCAAGAGCTAGTGCCACAGGAATGTGGACAGAGGTGACTGATTTTGCCGTTCTCTGGTGCTAGATGATGGCTGGTGGCAAGAGATTTCAGGCAGCGGAGACAGTGCGCTTCAGGTAAGGAGAGAGAACCGAGGGAAGAGAGGTGGTGGCGGCTGGCTGGGTCTACATGTGGAGGAGTCAAGGCTCAGGATTAGGGCTGCTTTTTGGGCTGAATGGGCCAGGAAATGAAAGCTCAATAGTGGTGTTGCCGTAAACGGCTGTAGTCTGTTTACATGCCATTTAAACGCTACACGCTGAGCAGCTGTTCCATTTAATCGGCCGTTTATCCCGTTTAATTGACCATGTAGCCCGTTTAACTAGCCATGTAGCCCAAATAAAAACACTAAACAATAGGTGTCCAACTGCGTTTTCGAGAAAAATAGGTGTCCAACTATGTACCATTTAGTATTTAGGTGAACATTGCTCAATAGTTCGTCTATCCTTCAGTGCCTTTCAGGCTTTCCCATACTTTTATTTCATTATTCTAAAGCTGTGATGCAATAGAGAACTACTTAATTGTTGTATCCATGATTAACTAATGAATGAGGATCGTTCAGGACTACGGTCCCAAAAGTAATTGGTTCACGTTACCAGCATCCCAAAGAGATACTCCCCCCTCGAACCAGGAATTTGGAAGGTCTCAATCCATGTCAGTACCCATTCCTCAACCCCCATCATACCAGGAACCTCGTGGCACTGGCTGTGCTCAGATTTCAGGACTAGAAGCCTTTTCATGTCAGTTTGTTTGTTACAGATTCAACTGAACTATCTTCAATTAAAAGGAAAAGAACTATGGTGCACAAGACAACAAAATGGCATAGCACGTCCAAACATCACATTGGACCAATGCCAAAGAATCCAGAGACAAAATCAAAGCACAATTATGCCAATTGGGCAATTACTCAACTTTTTTAGATGAATTGCGACCTGGCTGAACTTGGGGGTAAGAACAAAGGAAGGTGGTACAAAAGATTTTGTATCCTATTTGAGGCACTTGTTTATCACACTAGGTGATGAGTGTACATCGTGTGAGTTCAATACTGGTTACTATACATCAGCATTGAATGAATGGGTGGAAAATCTAGCCTCTAAGTGCAAGGATATACATATCACTAAAACACCGTCATATAAGCTGCAAAAATGGAATTAAAGATGCATTGGCCAATATATAAAACCCAACATCCAACCTGATCTCTAAACAACATAAGGAAGTCAAATTAGAAATGCATCCAGATGCCTCGAGCAGGGGAGGAACTTCCTTGACTTGAGGCAAACATGAGCAGTACACTCCCCCTCACCTTTGTAACGTTCATTATGTTCCTGGCTCGACGGGGGTCGAGAAACCAGGTTGAGGACACTACTTGCTAGAGGTTTTCACAAGGCAGGATCGAAAACGACCCTGTGTACCCAGGTCTGGGTCGACGTTTTGGGTCAAGTATGCTTGAAAGTTTAAACTATGTAGCCCTTTCCTACTTAGGGCATGTTCGGATTGTCCCCTTAGTTTGCCACACCGTAGTTGCGGCAAGCCAAAAATACAGAGAGCATTTTGTTCGCCAGAGATTTGGCACAGATTGCTGCTAAAAGCAGAAGGAAAATCTGTGGTGTGCCAGACTTATGGCGAGCTTAGGAAAGCCATCCAAACACAAAGCGAAGCTTTTGTAGCAACCTGTGGTCAGTTGTGGAAGCAATCCAGACCCTCAATCCATTGAATTTTTTGTTCTGTCTGACCTGTGCCGAGTTTACTGCTAAGCTCAGCCACTGTCGTCAAGGAACAACTACATGGGTACAGCATACTCTAACTGACTCCCTAACCGGCCTGCATTCACCCACTCCCGACATAACAACCAAACCACAAAAAATCGTGCATTCGCAACAAGCACAAGAAAATACAAGTCTCCATTCAGACGTCTTCCACAGTATGAGGGAGTTACCAAATTTAGATAAACATGCACGCACAAAAAGCAGCAGGAACACATCACACATGCAGCAGCAAGAGTAGAAGGGCCAGTCACCTGATCATCATCAGGAGACGATGCTTTATTGCTGCTGCTGTTGCTCCCACTGCCTCTCACCTGCATACACATCCGCGAGGGTCACAACCACACGGAGCAAACAAAAATAAAACAAAATTTGCCTATTTTCTAAGTACCCTTGCCACAAGCACAAACGACCAAACCCCAACTCGCCATCACAAGAACCACACCAACACCCCAGAAAAAAAAAACCCAAACAATCCCACCGAAAACAGGAAAAGAGCTTTATTACTATTTATTACTAGGCCAGCCCAAATCCAAGGCACCGGCGCATACCCTACTACTCTTCTTCTTCCTCGCAGGGTGGTTGAACTTGCACTTGATCCCGAAGCGGCAGGTGCCGAACTTGAGGTAGTAGCTGCAGTCCGGCTCTCCGGGCCGGCGCGGGAACCGCACCTTCACATCCACTGCCCCCGTCGGCGCCGGCGCCTTCTCGTCGGCACCCTCATCACCGCCGACAAGGACGGCGGCCGTGATGGGGACTGGCACGGGGCCATCGTCCCAGCCCGATGGCTCGGGGAACCCGCCGCCGTTGCCGGCGACGGCGATGCCCAGGCCGGCGAGCTGCTTCTCGATCGCGTCTGCGTCGGCCGCGTCCCCGGCACCTACGGAGGAGGGGGAGATCGACGGAACCGGGGACGCCGCGGCGTCGGGGGGCGGGGGCTTGGCGTCGGCGTCCGCCATTGGAGCCGGTGAGAGAGGAGAGAGGGGTGGTGATGGCGACGGTGATGGGGACGAGTGAGAGGTAGAGCAGGTGGGGAAGCAAAGCGAAGTGGGGAAAAAACCCCTAGAGAGAGAGGAGACTCGGACCGGGGACTGGGAGCGCGTCGGGGGAGAGGTAAAACGGTAAAAGAGAGAGAGGCACTCCTCTTTTACAGCGCCCTGTATATATCTGAAAGTACCCGCTATGAGTTTCGTTACTGGCACTTTCAGAGCTACCTGCACTCATAGAAAGTGGCCTCCAAAGGTGGTTTTGATATTTTGAGGACACCCGAGTAGTGAGGTGTAGAGATCAAAAAAAAAAAAAAGTGTAGTGAGGTGTAAAAGCCCAGGAATGGGGAGCGGAGTAGCGCGCATGCGACGGAAGCCCAGTGCGTCTGACTAGCGTGCGACTGCTAGCGCTGGGCCCACGCGGCGGTCAGATGAGGGGGAGACCGGAAGAGTGACGGTGGGAGACTTGAAATCAGAGCGGCTGTTCGTTGGTCGGGGCTGATACTGGTTTGGGTTTGTTGGTGTTGATTTTTTTTGAGAGGAAAATACTGTTGGTCGGTTGGTTTGGGCTGGCTGAAATCAATAAGCGAACAGGCTGAGAATCTGAGGCCATGTTTAGTTCAAAAACTTTTTCCAAAAAAGTGCTATAGTAGTCGTCACATCAAATCTTGCGATACGTGCATAGAGCATTAAATGTAGACGAAAAAAACTAATTGCACAGCTTGGTTAGAAATTACGGGACGAACGTTTTGAGCCTAATTAGTTCATGATTGAACACTAATTGCCAAATAAAAATAAAAGTGCTACAGTAGCCTAATTTCTAAAATTTGACCAACTAAACAAGGCCTAAAATGAGATATGAACGGATTTTTTAAATGCTGGCTAGAATTTAGGTGGCAGAGTAAAGTTTAGTAATGTCACATCGGGTGCTATATTAGAGTGTTATATGGAAGTATTCGGATAGTAATAATAAAACAAATTATAGAAGTTCTCAGTAATCCGCGAGACAAATTTATTAAGCCTAATTAATCTATTATTAACATATGTTTACTATAGCACCATATTATCGAATCATGAACTAATTATGCTTAAAAAATTCATTTCATAAATTTCTCGCAATCTGTATAATTAATTATTTTTTAGTCTATATTTAATACTTAATGTATGTGTCAATCATCTGATTTGATAGGTACTAAATTTTAGCCGGAGAAACTAAAGGAGGCTTAATAAAAACGAGGAAAAAAGTACGAGAGTTAAAACACCGTGACTTGTATTCACGGGTGATTTGCGCGCGTCCATGCGGAGTAATCATCAAAGTTGATTCTGTAAAGCAAGCATTGGATGATAAGACATTATATACATCATCTAAACATGACACGAGCCAGTTCTCTGATAGTTTAATAGTCCCCCAGGTTGTACATAATTATACACAAAAGATCTCAGGGATAAGTCGCTAAGAAGGCATGGTTTCTGAGATGGTCCACTAGTACACTACACACTTCTCTTGGAGTCACACTTTTTTTTGGACTAACGGTTGGTAAAGAAGTGGCACCAGTAGAGAGAAATGTCTGGGCCAGCACAAAGGACTGCCTGTGTAAAATAATTTACGTTGGCGGTTCTTGTAATAAAACTGTCAGTGCTAATGGTTTATTTACACTAGCGGTTTGTATTACCCAACTGCTAGTGTAAAGGCTATTTACACTGGCACCTTGCTTACATAAATGACTAGTGTAAATGAACATGTATACCGGCGGTTCTCTTATATGAACCGTCCGTGATTATCATTTACAGTGACGGTTTTTTATGTCACCCGCCTGTAAGACATCTGCTATAAATGCTGCTTCTTCCTCCCTCGACTAGCACTGTTCAGCCAAGGCACCTTCCATTTGTGGTGAACTTGGAGGTCCAAAATACAAGGGGAAGGTTTTGCTCTTCATTTCTTTGGAGGGGGTGGCTTAAGAAGATTAGTTAATGCCTCTCGTAGCTCTTTTTGCATTAGTGCTTCTCACTTTGAGCTAAAACTAGATCTAGCTAGAGAGAGTGTTTCATGCTTGTGTTTTGAGAGAGAGAATGGTAGTAGATTTTTATTTAGGGTTTCAATGCATGATGTCTTAGAAGGTTTGGATTAGTGATGTGCCTCTCATAGTTGATTCTCCATTATAAATTTGATTCAAAATTAGACATAGGGTTTCATGGGGAGAGAGAGAAATGATAGTATTATAGAGAGATAATTGGTATTATCTCATGAATCATGGTTGTTATAAATAATGCGCGAGTTAAAATATGTTATAAAAAATAGTAAATATTGTTAAAAGTACATCTAGCTAGAGAAATATTGTTTAAAAAATTTAAACAATCTAGTTTATTCACTAAATTAGATTTTTTGAAATTACAATAATTTTTAGTTTATTCAAATAATTACAATAACTTTAATTTAAATCCAATAATTTTAGATATACCCATTTAATTACACATTACCATTATAATTTTTGTATAGCTGAAGATGGAAAGATCGTTATGTATGTACAGCTTATCAAGATTAGACCCGTCATACCGTTTGGAGGTTCGTAAGTTTATTGATGCCGCTAGGAGGCATGCATGCAGACAGAAAGATGAAGTACATATGTTGTCCGTGCATCAAATGTAAAAATGTTGTTGTATTTAAGGATGCGGAAGAAATCGGTTCTCATTTGGTTCGCCGAGGTTTTATGAAGGATTACCTGATTTGGATGAAACATGGAGAGGGTAGTTCCGTGCCTTCTGCAGACGCCAACCCAGTGCATGCAGATGGACTGAATATGGATGACGGGACATGACACCGGAGGCCCTAGACTGATCCTGTTATGGCAAATCTTAGTGATGATGATGTCGGCATCCAAAATGCATGTGAAGACGTCGACGAAGTTCAAGTCGATGAAAGTGAACAAGCAGAGTTTTTCGAGGCATTGTTGCACCGTTATTCTGATCCTTCTATGTTTCTTATCAAAGGAATGGAGGCCTTAAAGAAGGCAGCTACAGAGCATTTGTACGAAGAGTCTAAGGGTTGTACCGATGAATTCACCACACTCAGAGCTATTCTTCCGTTTTTGATGCTAAAATCTCGGTATGGCTGGTCTGATGCTAGCTTCAATGAGTTTTTGCGTGTTCTTGCAAAACTCCTTCCAAAGGAGGACAAAGTGCCTACTAACACATACTATGCAAAGAAACTAATCAGTCCACTGACTATGGGTGTTGAAAAGATTAACGCGTGTAGGAATCATTGTATCCTATATCGAGGTGATTACAAAGACTTAGAGAGTTATCTGAATTGTGGTGCGAGTAGGTACAAGACAAATAAAGACTATCGGGAGGAAGAGAATGGAGCTTGTGTAAAGACAGGGAAGAAGCAAAAGAAGACCTAAAAGAAAACCAAAGAGAGTTCAAAAACCACTAGCAATGAAGAAGTAGACTATTATGAGCAGAGAAGGATTCCTGCTTTGGTGATGTAGTACCTCCCCGTGGTTGATCGGTTGAGGTGTTTGTTCGCAAACCCTGAGGATGCAGAACTTATGTGATGTCATGCTTCTAATGAGCGCAAACATGATGGAAACTTCAGCATCCATCCGATGCCAAGCAGTGGCAAAAATTCAATGACACATACAAGGAATTTGTTGACGAACCAAGGAACATAAGGTTCACACTGAGTACCGATGGAATGAATCCATTTGCTGAGAGGAGCAGCAAGCACAACACATGGATGGTGATCCTGACCATCTACAACCTTCCTCCATGGCTGTGCCAGAAGCGAAAATACCTTTTGCTAACCATTCTTATTTCTGGACCTATACAACCTGGTGCCGATATGGATGTGTTCTTAGAGCCCTTAATGGAGAAAATAAAAAACTATGGGAAGAGGGTGTGCCCATGTGGGATGAGTTTCGCAAGGAGGCATTCACACTAAAAGCAATTATTTTTGTTACCATAAATGATTACCCAGGTCTCTTTTCATTAGCAGGGCAGTTCAAAGGAAAGGTTGGTTGTGTAGTATGCCTTGACAAAACCTCACACGTGTACCTTACTACATCTAACAAGCTAGTGTACATGAGGCATAGACGCTTCTTACCAAGAGGACACAAGTACCGCTTGAAAAGGATGGACAAGTACTTCGACAATAGGGATGAAGCAAAATCTACTGCTCCATCAGGTACAAGTGTAGGTAAAAGAGTGTTCCTAATTGTCTGCAAAGTCACATTTGTTTTCGGGAAGAAGACCAAAGATGGAAAGAAAAGAAAGGATGTCAAGTCATCAGAAGGGGACACATTCAAGAAGATGTCAATTTTTCAAGTATTTGCCATACTGGAAAGACTTAGACATATGACACGCGATCGATGGTATGCACGTCCAGAAGAATTTTTTCGATAGCTTAATTAGGATGTTGCTCAACGTAAAGGGAAAGACAAAGGAAGGACTCAATTCGCATTTGGATCGGGTCAATTTAGGCATCAGACAAGAACTTCACCCTATACCTCAATGGGAAGTACCTGCTCCCAACAGCAAGCTACAACCTCAACCTAGAAGAGAAACATGCGATTTGTGTGTGGCTGAAGACTTTGAAAGTTCTATCTGGATTATGCTCCAACATCAGGAGTCTTGTGTCAATGAAAGACCTTACACTCACCAACTACAACTCCCATGATTGTCATGTCATGCTGACCACTTCCCTCCCTATTGCCATTATGGCTATAAAGCCAATGTTTGTAAAGATGGCAATCACAAGATTGTGCTACTTCTTCAACAAGATCTCACATAAGGTAATTGATCGTGATGAATTGGAGTCGCTGCACGAATTTGCCATGGAGACATTATCACAGTTGGAAATGTGCTTCCCTCCATCGTTCTTTGACATCATGGTACACCTGGTTGTTCACTTGGTGGCTTAAATAGAGGCATTGGGTCCCATGTATTTGCATGAAATGTAGACGTATGAGCGTTTC